GAATAGCGCATCAGGGTAAAATAGTCATTTTGCATCAGTCAGCACGTTGAGTCAGATTTACAATCAAACAGCATGATTTCTTACCCAGTCAGAATTTCTTACTGAGACAGACATTTCTCAGTCAACACTTTCTCAGTCAGCAACTATCAAACGAGGCCTTAGACTGTACCAAAGTGTATATTGTTGAGGTAAGACTGGGTTGTCGAAGACTAGGAGAACGTAAATGAATTAGTATTAGAAAATTAAATTATTAGTTGAACTAGAGCAATAAATTGAATTAAGGGAAATGTGATTATAAAACCTTAACAGAGAACAGAAACCAACAAACAAAGCAAATAGAAAACAGATTTTGAGTGCATGACGGAACCGGTACGACCCGTACCGTTTCTGATTTTCCGAAAACCAAATTTAATCAAAGTCAATCCCGAATACCAAACCAAATTAACATCACCGGTACCGATACCAGGTATGGTACCGGTTTTCGGTACTAGTACCGGTACCGCCGATATCGAATCCCAAATTTCGTGAATTTGGAGTACCAAATACCGTCACATATTTTTAAATTCGGTACAGTTCGATACCAATTCCGGTACGATACCAATACAGGATCGAGTTTTGGTACAAAGTGATCCCTAATTTGCTCTATTATTTATATAGATCATCCAATCATCCGTTCAGCTTTCAGCATGGGCTCAAAAAGGTCCTTGACTCCTTGCTCTCTGGCTCCACTGTACAGGAGCACAGCAAGTAACCCATCCCAGCAAGCAATATTGCCAGTGGGGCCAAACTTCCTTATCTTCCGATTACAAGTCGCCACGTGTCCACATCGATGAAACCAAACAAAACTCTCTCTCTCTCTCTCTCTCTCTCTCTCTCTCTCTCTCTCTCTCTCTCTCTCTCTCTCTCTCTTCCTTCTTACAAATCAAAATTTTGTACTCTCGCAATCAATCGACTGCACTTCTTCCATTATTTTCGCTCATATTCATCCTACAGAATCTCACCCATGCACAAATCATTCAATAAATCCGCACGTCTATATCTATCCAAGATGCAGTCGCAGATCCTCCCTATCTCGATCTCAATCTCCAATCCCTTTTTCCCAAATCGAACACCACCATCTTCAATCATGCCAGCTTCTGCGGCAGCACATGCTGGAGCAGTGTTCCTCAACATGGAGGATGGTGATGGAGATGATTTGTCCCATTCATCTATTGAAGATGGGAAAAAGTTTGAAACCACACCTTTTTTACCTAGGGTTTCAAGTTACGATAGTGTTAACAGTACTAGTATGGCGTCAACTGTGACGAGTTCCGTTTCTTACCAGCAACGACGTCGTCGTGCCGCTAGCGATTCGAATCTATCCGATTTTCCTGGTGGCCGGCGGCGGTTTTTTTGTCACAATGCAGGCCGGGCTGATGGGGATTCGTTTTTTATCACCCGGGTTGGGTCTAAATTGTGGGCACGTATTAGGTAAATTTCCGCTTTCCACTTTTCAATGAATTTTGTTTTCTTGATCCTTCATTCATGTGGTATAAAGTATAAACCACTCTTCTCATTGATGATGTTAAATTTATTAATTGTAAATGGAGAATTTGAATATATTTCTTCTTGTTGTGTATTTGAGAATGGTTTATAGGATTTTCTGAAATTCTCTTTCTTTTTCTTGCTTCATGGAATCTTTTTTCGAAAGCTATGTTAATTTGTCTTCTATGTATAAATGATTGTTTAACTGTTTCAAGTGCCTTAAGTGTCATTAGTCGACTTGGTGTCTTAAATATGAAAGAGAAACTCAGTCAATGGAGGAGTATCCTTGTTATTACCACATTTTTTAGATTTATATTTGATGAAAGATAGACATTTAATCACTTGGTGAAACGCCTTACATACATACATTCATTTGTAGAATAATCTTGACTTAAGTACATTGAACTTTAAGCAGATAAGCATATCAGGGAATTCAAAATTAAACAGAAGGCTAAGTGAAACAACACTTTGACAAATGCTCTAATTGGTATGTTAGAAAATGATGTCTATTGAACTAGTTATCCATGATTTTAGGTGTTTATTATAGCTATTGTCTCAATTGACCGAATCTGTTAAGATCAACATCGATTTTCTCCTTATATCATTAGCTTCTAGCATCCAAGATACAACAAACATGCCTTTTCAACTCAATTTGGTTACATTTTCTTAATTTTTCCATATGCTGTTGTATATTGTTTTACTAATTGTTAAAAAAAGCAGATCTTTTATCTTTGTTTAATATGCTTTGAAAGTATGTTAATATTACATTCTTTCTTCAGGTCAGGTTATTCAATAATCACTGGATTTCTTGCTCTACAATGTTATGCAATCCTAATCATGCCAGGTGTACTTCAAGGTTTGTAAAGTCGGTGATTCGTGGCTAAGGTCATTCCTCCCATGTTTAATAACAAATTACAAGATTCCCTTTATACCCTTTAACTTCAAATTCTCAATGTCACTATACTTCCTAAATGGCTAAATCACTAAATGACATATAAATCCTTAATCATTGCAGTTGCTTATTACTACTATTTCTCAAATCAAGTTCGCAGAGACATTGTTTTTGGTGATCAACCTAGAAATAAGTATGTCTTAATATCTTAATTATTCAATTATTCCACCTGCTTATTACTATTATTTTCATTTAACTGAATATTTAATTGCAGACTTGACATATATTTGCCTAAAGACAATGGAAAAAATGATACCCCAAAGCCTGTCATTGCTTTCATCACTGGAGGAGCTTGGGTAATAGGGTGAGTAGCTAACTAACTAACTAACTAACAAAACCAGGGGTAAAATTGGAAACATAAAAAAATCTTGAACTTGTGTTGCAGGTATAAAGCTTGGGGTTCTTTATTAGGACGCCACTTATCAGGTACAGATGTTATAGTGGCATGCATAGATTACAGAAACTTTCCCAAAGCTACAATAAGTGAAATGGTTAAGGATGCTTCTAGAGGCATCTCATTTGTATGCAATAACATCTCTGAATATGGTGGTGATCCTAATAGGTATGTACATATATATCTTATGTTTTTACTAATTTACCCTTTTGGATTTTGAATATTGAAATATGATAATTTTGAAGGATTTACCTGATGGGACAATCAGCTGGTGCACATATTGCAGCTTGTGCACTTGTGGAGCAGGCAATTATCGAGTGTGATGCAACACAGAGTACTACATGGAGTGTTTCACAGATAAAAGCTTATTTGGGCTTATCTGGAGGGTATGTATGTAAATTGTTAATCTTGTTAGTTATTTTCAGTTCATACAACTGAAAACTAATATTACAAAACTGACACTAGTTTTGTTTATAATGTTTATATAGATATAATTTGTATAACTTGGCTGAACATTTACACACTCGAGGCCCATACAAGTCACTTTTTTATAGGTATTTTCCATTTTGTCTACTTTTAATATTAAAAAAAAAGGATAACTTTATATAATTTGTACAGTATTATGGGAGGTGAGGAATCTTTGAGAAAATATTCTCCAGAAATTAGTGTTCAAGATCCCAACAATAAAAAAGCTGTTTCTCTCTTGCCTCCAATTATTCTTTTTCATGGTACTGCAGATTATTCCATTCCAGCAGACTGCAGGTGTGAGTCTTTTGTTATTTTTTCAATTTAGTTTAAAAAAAAAAAAAAATAATATATAAGTGTGTTGATGTTTATAGTAAAACGTTTGTGGACACTCTGCAAAGAGTAGGAGCAAAAGCAGAGTTGATGTTGTATGAGGGGAAAACTCATACTGATGTGTTTGTTCAGGTAGTTTATTAAATTTACATTTTTGGTCCCTGAGTATAATTGATTTTTGCAAATTTGGTCTCCAAAAGGTTATTTTCTTGCAATTTTGGTCATGATTTGAGGTTCTTATAACGTTTTTGGTCCCTCTTCCAAAGAAAAATTGAGCTGATTTTAGAAAAATCTGGTCCCAAAAAGTCATTTTATTTGGAATAAGAAGAAAAAAACATTAAAAAAAAGCCTCAAGTAAGCAATTTTATGTGAACATTTAATTAATTATCCGTTTTGTATTTAGGATCCAATGAGAGGGGATGATAAATTGTTTGATGATTTGGTTGCAATTGTTTATGAGGGAGATGAAGAAGCACTTGCAAAACAAGTGAGTGCACCTTCCAGACGTCGCCTTGTGCCTGAATTTATGTTAAAGTTGGCTGCAAAAATTAGCCCCTTTTAACCCGTTCCACACATTTTTTTTGTACATCTGATAGTGACATTAAACAAACATCTATAAATATCTTAAAGTGATCATGTTTGTTAAAATCCAAGCATACATACAAATTTAAAGAAAAAACTTATATTTTGATTCCTATTCCTCGTTTTGATTTTATATAAGAATCATAGACAAGTCTAAAATGGCCATTTATATGGAGGATGGTCAAACATGACCTCCTTCCCAACTATATAACATGATTATCCCCTTGTATCAATCCAATCTATGTAACACAAACCCAATCCAATGTATCATCTGATAGTGGGTTTAGTGATTTCATCTCCTAAATACAAAGAATCTACCCATAATTCTAATTGGGTATTGCAACACCACATGCACTACCTATTTAGAATATGAGCCAAGTCTTTTAGATTATCTTCATCTCTATTGGTTAATAATTCACTAATCACACATGCATTGAAGTTTCCTCCCACAATTAGGTAACTCCTTAATAAACCACCAATCTGAAAATCATAAGGTATAAGGTAACGCTTTAATATGTAGGAATCGAAGAGGGAATAAACTGCAATCTTACAATAGAATTAAAAAAAATCTTTTTTTTTTTTTTTTTTTTTTTTGCCACAAGGGAATGTAATGGAACATTTCTCTTAGGTTGATTTTCATATTCCATGGGGAAGTGACATTTTTTTATTAATGTAAATATGAATTATAATTTACTTTTATCCACTAATTTTTTAACATTCAAAACTTTGATTAGATTAAAAAAAATAGCTAGTACTTATTTTTATTATAATTATATTGTAAGATTGATGGTATTTAATTATTTAT